GGGCCTCACACGGAAGAGTTGGTGTCTCATCATCAATACTGATGGCAGAAATCGGCAGAAGGACTCTTAAATGTCAGCCGATTTTCTTTGTTTACTAATGAGATGTAAAAAGTGTGGGAGTCGTTTTATCGCTGCCATTTTTAGCGTTTAAGAACTGGTGAAGTAAACTAACAGGCTCTTTCTAATGTTTTGGTGCTTTTTAATCTCTTTTCTGTGGGTTTTACTTTAAACCCAGCTGATTAACACAGACAAGAGGGATGAAGACAAAGCGAGTGTTGATCTTAAAACAATCCTGCACATTTTAGGACTACATGAAGCGCCTGAAGAAGCTCTGCTTTGTCATTTGGAGGAAGCCGAGGTGACAGAAGAAAGCTGCACTTGACTGATCCTCATCAGAGCAAACTGGATAAAATGGTTTCAGGCTGCCAAAGGGCCAGCTGCAGCAGTTATAACCAACCCTACTGAATACTTACTTTTGATACAAATCACATTTTTTACTGAGCTCCATCAGCTGTCATTATGAGTCGGTTTAATTATAGACCCAGCAGCAATATGAGATAATAGTGAGTAAAAAAATCTGAATACAGATGCAAATGGAAAAATGGGTTTGGGTTAAAAATCTGGAAAAAAGCACATGGGCCACTGAGAGCATGTTCTTCTGATTAGTCAAAAACTTGGTCATTTATCTTCTACCGTCAAAACAAACTTGAGGAAATTGGGTTTTGTTTTTGAACAACCAATGTCTCCTGAAGGCCAGTCTAAAATGCTGCTCCGAAAAGTTTTTATCACGTAAGAAATATCTCCAAACTGCGAAGGTTGGCGTCAAAACATGAACTTGAAATGGTTCTCCATGCCTTTACCTCCTCCCGTCTAGATTACTGTAACACACTCTTCACATGTTTCAACAAAAAAGCCCTTGACCGCCTTCAGTTGGTCCAGAACTCTGCAGCGAGGCTCCTAACTGGAGCAAACAGAAGAGCACACATCACTCCTATTCTAATGTCTCTGCACTGGTTACCCGTTAACTTTGCATTTCATTTTAGAATCCTGACTATAACTTTCAATGCTCTACATGGTCAAGCTCCTCCCTATATTACTGAACTGTTAAAGCCTTATGCTCCAACCCAGCCCTCAGGTCCACACACCAGAACCTTCTAGAAGTTCCAAAGAACAGATATAAAAGTTGAGGTGATCTCTCCTTCCAGACTGTTGCACACCGACTCTGGAATGATCTTCCTTTATCCTTATGCAGCGTTGACAGTCTGGGCACTTTTTAAAAACAGCTAAAGACCCTTTTATTTAAAGCTGCTTTAATATAAATCTTTTGTTTTCTAATTTTTTTAACTCAAATTTGTCATCTTTCATCTGTTTATGAAATTTTGTAATTTTATGACTTGACTTTTTCTGATGTTAATCTATTTCTGTTTTGAGATCATTATGATTTTATAACTTTATGTTTTGTTTTGATCTATGTGAAGCACGATTCTGTCTGTGATGAGTGCTATATAAATAAAATGTAAATTGTGAAGAAAATCCCTCCAGAATGTTTATTATTATTTGAACTTGAAGCTAATGTTAAATATATGTTTTCATTAAATCTGCTGAAAGATTATCACCACAAACATTCCTGGTAACAAATTAAAGTTTTTCCTTGACGTTCCTGATGTGTGCGGCTGGCTTAATGACCGCGGGCCTCAAACTGAAAACAAAAAACATAAATTTAAGCTTCGCCATCTTGTTTCGCTAACCATGAGAAGCTTGTTTTGTAGCTTTTTTCAGCACCACTCCCTTTTATCTTTTACTCCATCAGGCGCACCTTTACTTTGAAACTCGAGGCCTGCTGTGACTCAACAGCTCTGAAGCAGGTCGTCCATGGCGACTGTTTACAAACACGACAGAAATCCTACTTTCAAGTTCAGCAGGTCGGCATTGGCCATTGAGGTTTTTCTGTGAAGTTCATTTCTGGACATAAATTCCTTGCAGCATTCCAAGATGATCCCTGTCGTGACTACAACCGGTTTCTCTGTGTTCTCGAGTGTCCCGAGTCTGTTCTTTTCCATCAATAACTCGGTAATCTGCCGCCTTGAGCAGCATCTTCTGCATTAGTCTAAACTGTTAGACTCACAAGGGTGTTTGACTTCCTGAAGTGTGTCTTTGCTAAATGTCAAAGACTAAAATTGGACATCGACCACGAAACAAAACAAGAAAATGACAGCAGGTACCGTGCTGCTCTACTTGTGGGTTTTTGTTTTTAAACGTGTGGTTATTTTCACCTGACTGGCAAATTTTCATGTCAACTTAAAATGTCTTCTTCAGCCCAGAAAGGAACAAACACCCCAATTTTTGTTTTAACTTTAATTCTGCAAAAGATTTGGCGATCTCGATGGTTTAACAGTTCTCAGCATGTTTTAATGGCCAATGGCAGCTATGAACTTTGTCTGGAGACCCCAGTGAGAAGTGGTCAAATCATAACACACACACACACACACACACACACACACACACACACACACACACACACACACACACACACACACACACACACACACACACACAGCTAGAACCTATCGCAGTGACAGCACAGACAAAAAGCAGATGATGCTGTTTGGAGAGGAGACTCATGCAGGTGACTCACTCACTGCCATCACACTGAACTTCCCCACAGCTCACACAGAGAGGACCCTCCAGCTCCTCGGCTGCAGAAACACAAGTTGTTCTGCTCCAAACTGCATCTGCACGACTCCTGAGCAGCACCGAGCCTCGCCTAATAAACATTTATCCACCGAGAATGTCAAAAGCAAACACACTTCCACCCTTAGTGTCAATTCAGCTCAAGGTTGGTCCTTAATGTTGGGTTCTGTGAGCAAAGGGAGGGAAACATGAAGTCTGATGACACGCTCAACTCTGTTTTAACATGCACCTGGGTCCACGTGTGCACAGAGACTGGCGCATGTTCTCGTGAGGATAAAATAACAGTGAACAAGTTGATAGATGGCATCGCCACATCATGGCCTGAGTGGCCTTTTAAACTTTCCAAGGAGGAGTGACCATCCTGCAGATTTCAAAACATTTCCACTCATCTTTTAGGGAAATTGTGACACTCCCGTGACAGGAGTGAAGTCTTCCAGAGTTTGCATCGCCTAAAAAGAACAAATCCAGAAATAACTTGTTCTGACTTGACTCGTTTCCCGGGTGAAGCTCTTACTGAAGGATTGTTTATGAGGGAATGACACCTCAAAGGTCAGCTACGTGATTTGAAGAAAATCTGTTCCTGAATGATTCCTAGGGGTCTACCTGAGCCAACATCTCCCTTCCTGTTATGGTGTCATAACATCTTTATTGATATGAGATTAATTTAAATTATGTCGAATTAGGATTGATGAGGATTTGGGGCTCACCTCTCCAGGGTCCAGGTGTTCCAAGGTGATGAGGCCTTTGCTTTTGCTCTCGTTGTCACTCAGAACGTCATCCTCAGAGTCCACATTTGAGGACCCCGTGGAGGAGATGGAGGAGTTGGACAGCTTCCTGCACAGCGACCTCTCCACCTCATCGTCCAAGTCCTCGGGTTGAATCTCCCTGGAAGAGCCGCCCCCCTCCGGGGTGATGGTGACCTGCGGCACCTGGGGCGCAGCCCTCACCTCCGCGGACCCCCCAGTAGGAGCCTGGCAGGTTTGGGGGCACCTCCGGGGCGCTCGTAGGTCCGGACGACCTCCATCGGTCCCGAGGTCCTCGGAGGACTTTCTCTTGCTCTCTTTGAGCATTTGAGATCGAGGCGGGAAGCAGGTTTGGGCTCAACTGTCAAATCTGGTCATTTCACTTCCAGAAAGCAGGAACGCAGCCAGCTGTGGTTCTGGTCGTCCACCTGGTCTGAACCTCGTACCGCTCCGGGGTTCGGGTCGGGCTTCAACCGCCTCCTGCTATGGTGCAGCTTCTGAGCGCCGTGCAGACTGTCGGTAAGGGGAACCCCTCTGCGCGGTTTTACGCACGACGCGACAGCTCGCTGTTCTAATCTTCCGCATTCTCTCTCTCTCTCTCTCTCTCTCTCTCTCTCTCTCTCTCTCTCTCTCTCTCTCTCTCTCTCTCTCTCTCTCTCTCTCTCTCTCTCTCTCTCTCTCTCTCTCTCTCTCTCTCTCTCTCTCGCTTCCTGGCTGAAAGCTTCAAACCAGCTGACGCGTCAAAAGTTTAACAGCTGCCGCTGCACACATGGGCCCACAGCTTGGCTCAAGAGATCATGTTACGTCACAAAAATGGAATCAAACACATCTAAAAAAGTCATACTTGAACAAACAAGGGCTAAACAAAGTTTAAATTTCACCTGTGTGGCTTTTATCTGTCTATCAGAGGATTTTCTGATTGTTTTCAGAACATTTTTCACATTTTGAATCAAGAAACATGACATTAAATCAAATTATTGTTCCAGACAATTGAGTTTTTCTTTCAGATAAACTGCAAGAATAAAGAAAAACAATCCACCAAGTGTTAAATTGTGTTTTAGAGTCTTTCACACTGGATGTTTTTATTGAAAGAGGCGTCTACATCAACAGAAGTCATGTTTGGAGTTTATAAGGTCAAAAGGTGAGAAGGTAAGATGCAGCATTCTGACCCTACCTCTATGACCAGGTCAGCTGTTGCAACAAGGTGTTTGGGGAAAAACAAGAACATGATGTAAAGTCTTTCAAAATGCTGAAGAAACTTAGAAGACGTGCATACTTATGTGTTTTATTACTTTCTTACTCCAAATGTGCAATAATAGTGCAACTAAATTAATTAATTAAATGCAAGCTCAAAATGAAATTTGTTTTCCTAAATCTTCAAGCAAGCTTTTTAAACAAACTTTTGCTCAGATGATAGCTGTTAATCATTTACCCAATGTCAAAGATCTATAATAAACAAATGTCTAATGTTTAATTGTGCAAATTAGCATTACATAGTTTATGACATGCAGTTTTAACGACATGTTTTGTTTAGTCAATTTATAAAATACTTTCTGTTCTGATTTATGTTAAATCCAATTGAATATTTCTGTATTATTGAAAGATTTTTTAACAATCACTTTCTTGGATTTGCAAATTGTGTTTAATAATCAGATGTTCTGTACCAGATATTAAAGTTAATTTTGTTGAAACTAAATATTTTATGTTGTGTTTAAGTAAAATATCTCATTTTAAAGCTAGTCATTAAGTTTATGATCATTAAACAAGAATTAGTGACTAAAACTGTTGCAGCTTTTGAAACACCCTTTAATTTGTTAGCGCTAATGCTGTTTTCCCTAATGTCCACTAGGTGGCGCTTTCGCTGATCAACTTCTTTGGTCCTAACGAGAAGAAGAGTCTGCGCGGATGACGTCTGTGGTGTTGTGAAAAAGTATCAGAGTGAGACCTCATAGTGACAATCTTTCCGTCCATCTCAATTTAAAGGTTATCGTTAGCTTTCTAGCTGCGAGCAGCACCATGTTGGCCGTCAGAAACGCTCTCCGTCTGGGGGCCAGGTTGTCCGTGCCTGTCGTAGTGAGGAGAGGATGTGCCGGAGCTTCCATCCCGGTGGACGACGTGGTGAACGGACTCTCAGAGGACCAGATACAGGTTAGCTAGCTAGTGCTAGCAAAACAGCGATCAGACAAACTACTGAAGGAATCTAAAAGTTTACAAAGTCACACAAAGACAGCATTTTAATAGGATGCAGAAATTTATTAACTTTTAAGGACAAATAAATTTCTATGGAGTCGTGGCACACCTGATGTGATAGGATTAGCTGACAGAATGTAGCATCTTTAAGAGCAAAATAAATGCTGGATTAAAGCTGTTTAAAATGACTGACGGTTAAACTATGTTATTGATCTGCCTCTTCACACACGTAATGTTAAATCCTGGTTTATTCTTGTGAGAAAATGTATGAATAGGTTGCGGAATGTTTTCCAGGTATTAGTTTTTATACCTGGAATATCATTGTGGAGAAATCAGGGGTTGAGTTCATACACAGCCTCTGATTGGATGGTGGTTTGTCACGTGATCCTGCATCTTCATGAAGTTTATATGTGACCCTTGTGAGTGATAGTGAACATCAAAGCACATCTACCAGCCAGTTTATTGTTTTTAAGAACATCTAAAGCGTGATTTGATATTGTAATATAAGTTTCAGTGGGCAGAATATCTTTCCCTCCAGTCAGAACCCCAAAAACAGCACCAGTAGGCAGCAACTTATCCAAAATATCCTTTATTACTACAACTAACAATAAAACACTACGGCCGAGTTCCTTCACAATAAATTCAGCTGAACAGCATAAATAAAATCAAGCAGTGGGTACTTAGCTGGCCCAGTCGATTCAACCCCCTCCCCGGGGTCTGAGCTTCCGACACCGTCCAACGCCCCGGGGCTCAGCTTGCAAGGACGGCGGGTAAGTCCACGGCTCAGGTCCGGCTGCCAGTCTGCGGCGGCAGATGTTGGCGTGGTCTTGGCACCCAACTACTCCCAGCCCTCACTACCTAAAGAAGGCGTCAAGCCTCCCCTCCTAGCGCTGGAACACTGCCCACCTACTCGGCTATCTTCAAATCACAAAGTAAAGTACACTACCACATTGTAGTAAAGAATTCAATCTAAACTATACATAAAAACTGTCAAAACCTGGATGGCTGGGAGCTTTCTACAGCTGAATGAAGATAAGACTGAGATCCTCATCTGTGCCCCAGACATGCTGGTTCCCAAAGTCAGAGACTCTCTTGGTCAGCTTGCTTCTCACACCAAACCTTCCGTCAGGAATCTTGGCGTGACCTTTGACCCAGCTCTCACCCTGGATTCTCATGTCAGTTCTCTTGTTCGCTCTTCCTTCTTCCATCTCAGGAACGTTGCTAAGCTGAGTCCCATTCTGTCCCGCTCTGAACTTGAGACAGTTATCCACACCTTCATCTCCTCACGCTTAGACTACTGTAACTCTCTTTTCACGTGTCTGAGCAGAACCTCCCTGAACCGTCTACAGGTGGTTCAGAATGCCTGTGCTCGGCTTCTGACCAAGTCCTCCAAACACACCCACATCACCCCGCTTCTCCTCCAGCTTCACTGGCTGCCAGTCAACTTCAGGGTTCATTTCAAGATCCTGGTTCTGGTCTATAGGGCCTTACATGGACAAGCACCATCTTACATTGGTGATCTTCTTAGTCCCTACACCACCAGCAGGTCCCTGAGGTCCAGTGATCAAAGCCGACTGGTTGTGCAGCACCAGGCTAAAGACCAAAGGTGACAGATCATTTGCTGCTGTGGCCCCCAGACTCTGGAACTCTCTCCCCCTGAGATCGGTGGTCTCCTTTTAAAAGCAGCTGAAAACTTAACTGTTCATGCTGCTGCTTCTTCTTTCGTCTTCTTCGTCTTCTTGGTAAAATTTTGTCTGTTAAGTGAGAAAAAGGATTTTGTAGCCAACAAGTACAGTTGTTCTCCTGATCTAGAAGCAGTAAGTTTTGCTTTAGCTTAGCATAAAACAGAGCAAGTAAAAAAGGAAGGTTCTAGCGTAGAACTTTATTTATATAGCACCTACCACCACCTTATCTGAGGCCCAAGGTGCTGAACAGCCCATAAAAACAACATAGTAGATAAAAGAGCAAAATGGATCAAAAAATAAATAAAAAGTACAAATAATTTACAGTACAAAAGGTAAAATTACAAAAGCCAGGGTCAACGATGTTGGGGAAAAGCTAGTAGATAAAAGTGAGTTTTCAGGCGTGACTTCAACTCCTGTAGAGAAGGAATTGTTGGCTACAAAATCCACCTGATTTTTCTTTTTTTTTTTTGCGTTTAAAAAGATTTTTGGCCGATATAGAAAACATTGAATATATCATCCCGACATATTGGTCGGCCTCTATCCAAACTACGGAGAACTTGTCATAAAATAGATGATCAGCAGAAGGATGATCCATCACGCAGGTCCTGTTTTAGATCTTCGGGATATTCCTGTTTTAATTTAATTTCCTAAAGTTATGATACTTAGATTTAGATACAGATATTTTTTATAGTTTTTAACTTTTTGTCCTAATAATCACATTTATGAGTTAGCTAAGGAGGTATTTTTTTATCTTTTATGCAGTTAAGACAAACAGTTCGTAAATTCTTCGCGGAGAAGCTTGGACCGTTTGCCGATGAGATAGACAAAAACAACGAATTTCCAGGAATGCGGGTGAGTTGAGACGTAAAATCCTTGATTTTGTGACGGAGAATGTTTGAATGAACCTGGTTTATTCTACTTGAGTTGATCTAATCTGATTCATTGGATTTATGTTAAAGTATTTTTTTTCCCCCAGGATTTTTGGAAAGCTATGGGGGAGATGGGACTGCTTGGCATCACTGCTCCAGGTATCAGAACTGCATGAAGCATCAGGATCCGACTGAATTACTATTCCAGTTACAGCCTGAGCTGAAGGCTTCCATCTCAACATATGTTCTATTTTTTCTCCTCAGTGGAAGATGGAGGCACCGGTCTGGGCTACTTGGATCATGTCATTGTGATGGAGGAAATGTCACGGGTGTCAGCAGGCATCGCTCTCAGTTACGGCGCCCACTCTAATCTTTGTGTCAACCAGCTGGTGCGTCACGCCAATCCTCAACAGAAGGAGAAGTACATGCCCAAGGTCAGGCCAATTTTCCCCATCTTCTATTTAAAAGTGTTTATATATATCCAAACAGGGATCAGATTATTTCATAACTGTTTTTTCTAGTTATTAACAGGAGAGCATGTTGGAGCTTTGGCCATGAGCGAGCCTAATGCTGGTTCTGATGTCGTCTCCATGAGACTCAAAGCCACCAAAAAAGGTAGAACTTTCATCTTTATCACTTCTCTGAATTAGTTATACCTAATTTGGTGGTGATGGGACGTTTTTTCTTAGGACATTTTTTAGCTCTCAGGAAAACATTCAGACTGTCCTGAGACCTCAGGTCGTCCTAAAATATCTAAAACGTGGTACTGTTCGCTGTGCAGCTGCTTTAGTTTCCACGTAAATCATAATTTAGCTTTAAGGATTCATATTTGAAGTCAATGTGATTTAATGGCAGTTTCGCATGAGATAAAAACATTTAAGTTAACTAGTGATGCACCGATATGAAATGTTTGGGCCGATACCGAAATCCGATATTAAGATCACTGTTATGGCCAATAACTGATATTTGCCGATACCGATATACTGACACCAATGCTTCTAAAATCAGCAGATTTAGCATAGAATAAAAATTATTAAAGCTGAATTTACGTTATTGTGTGCACACATCACACACATTTACGCTTCTGAGATGACTACAATCACTGTGACATGACTAAACAAATGCACATCACCCCACCTCACCCTCTGAAACAGGCAAACAAATGGTGACAAGATGAAAAAAATATCGATTGTTAACTCATTCACTGCCAGCCATTTCCTGATCACTAACGGCCTTCGCTGCCAGCGTTTCTCACCGTTTTTACTGTTTTTTTAAGAGTCACAGAATGTTGCGCGCTAGGATGATGTCGATGCCAAAACAACCAAAACAAAGTTGAGACTCACCTCTTACATCGGGAAGAATCCGTGTGTTTCAAGCGTTATCCGTTCTTTCATAATCCGTTGTTGAATTGTGATCGGCAGACGCTTTTCCGGTTCGCGCCTCACTTTTTTTACAGGAACGGCCCAAAATGATCTCCTAATACATGGATGGTCTGCTTCCTGATCATGTGACGTGTGACGTATGCGGCTGAAGATCGGCTTCAGGGCTGAGATGTTTGTTCTCTCAGCGCGGGGGCTCGTTCTGATGCTCAAACGACGGTGGCACAGGAGTTAAGTGCTCGCCCCGTAATCGGAAGGTTGCAGGTTCGAGCCCCGCTCAGTCTGTCGCTGTCGTTGTTTCCTTGGGCAAGACACTTAACCCACGTTGCCTGCTGGTGATGGTCGGAGGGACCGGTCGCGCCAGTGCTCGGCAGCCTCGCCTCTGTCAGTGCGCCCCAGGGCAGCTGTGGCTACATCGTAGCTCATCCCCACCAGTGTGTGAATGTGTGTGTGAATGGGTGAATGACTGATTGTGTTGTAAAGCGCCTTGGGGGGTTCCAGGACTCTAGAAGGCGCTATATCAAATACAGGCCATTTACCATTTACCATTCAAACAGTAAAAAAATGCAAATGGCGACTTTAGTCATCATTGGCAGTGAATGAGTTAATATCGACCCGTTATTTTTTTTTTATCGGACCAATATGTTAAAAAATGACTAACATCGGCCGATACCTATATTGATGCCGATATATTGTCCATCACCAAATTTAAAGGGACTTTACGGAGTTTTGAGTTTTTATGCTCGCGATTGCCCCCTCAGGCCAAAAGCGTAACGGCTCCTTCAACAGTTAATAGGTTTATGATGGGTCAGTCCTCCTGCATGCTCAGATCATTCCCTTCCCTTGCTTGAAAAATTGTTCCTAAATGAAAGTTTAACCCACATCTTTTTTATCTGTGCCGTTCTGCGAGTCTCAAATAAAAATTTGGGCATCTTACTGTAAAAAAATATACCATTAATGTAAAAAAGAAACTCTAAATAAACTATGTTCGTATCCAGAATCAAACCCAGATCCTCTGCACGAAAGTCCGACGTCTTACTAGGCGAGCTAAAGCGCCAATAACAAGCGCCAATAACATCCTTTGTATCTGTAAAATTTATATCCTTGATGACAGCTGAAACAACGTTCAAAGAACGGTTCGGAGGGCTATGCCTGAACGTGAACGCGCATGAAGCAGCCTGCTCGACCCGAGCAGCTCTCTTTTTCTGTGATTTTACAGAAAAACAGGCAATCACAGTAAAAATGCCAGGGCTCATTCTACAGGACCAGGGCACTGCAGGAGAATGTATGAAGAAGAAATTTATTATTTCTATACATGTTTTGGCTGTCAAACTTCCACAATGCCCCTTTAACATATTTAAATACATCATAATAAAAGCACCTGTAGTTTGTGCGTGCACATATTCTGACCTTCAGATGAAATGCCTGTCAGTCGAAGCTGAGGGTGAATTTAAAAAGCAGGAGTCGGGTGCAGCAGCTAGAAAAACCTCCTCACACGTAGCTGGTCTGTTAAATGTCAGTCGCGTTAGAACAACTAGATGTTTGACCTGGTGAACTATTGTGTCCTTCCCATTTTTTCATGGTGAGATGAGATCACAGGATCTCTCGCTGATGTCACTTCCTCACCTTCCAGCTGTTCCAACACTCATACAATGGGTTCTTTGCTTTTCTCTACCATCTCCACCTGAGGTGTTTTTCCAGATGTTACGCTGACTTTGTTTCATGCTTTTTCGACTCTTTCATTGAAGCCGCCGTCGACTGATTTTTCTGCCCTTAATGCCCTTTTCTTGTGTCATTCCTTTCTTTAGGTGACTATTATGTTTTAAATGGCAACAAGTTCTGGATCACAAACGGACCAGACGCCGATGTCCTGATTGTGTACGCAAAGACGGATCCTGAGGCGCATCAGAAAGGAATCACAGCTTTCATTGTTGAGAAGGTAAGTTGAACTGATTGGAAGTTGGAGGACGAAAAGCTGAACCGTAAATAAAATGAGTTTTTGTTTTTGCTTTTCTTTAGGGAATGCCAGGATTCTCTACTGCACAGAAACTGGATAAACTCGGGATGAGAGGCTCAAACACCTCTGAGCTGATCTTTGAAGACTGCAAAGTTCCAAGTAACACTTCCTCTTTAATCCCCCTTAAAAAAAACAGAATATGTGTTTAATTTAATTGTCTTTTCTGTTACAGAGGAGAACGCGTTGGGCCCGCTGAATAAGGGCGTGTACGTGATGATGAGTGGTTTGGATCTGGAGAGGCTGGTGCTCGCTGCTGGACCTGTTGGGTAAGCATTAGCTAGCATGTAGGCTAATGGCAGCCTTTTAAAACCAACCAACGACAAAGAACTGACTTTGAGACACCCTCAGTCCACTGATGCCCCTCGCCGAGTATAATAGGAGCGCTCCACATCTAGAGGCCAATTAGGACGATTAGATGCTTCAGCTAAATGTGTCAGTCAGCCAAACGAGTTTAGGAAAAAGGAGCACATGATGTGTTCCCTCTGCTTTAATCTAATCCATCCCATCTGTTTTAAAGGTTGTGCATGCGGGCATGTCCACGCTCGATTCAAACAACAACAACAAAAGGTTTAGATAGAACTCAGAAAATTTAAATATGGTGCAAAAGTGAACTTATTACAGGTGAAACTAATACATGAGATAGACTTGTTACATGCAAAGCCTCTATTTGTTATAATTGCGGTGATTATGGCTTACAGCTCATGAAAACCCCACATTCAAAATCTCAGACAATTAGAATATTGTGAAAGCTCCAGTATTCTAGACTCTGTGAGGTCAGCGACACCTACTCCCCCCCGCCCGACACGCTCCTGGTGGGGAAACGGCGTGCTGCAGAGCCCCAACCACCAGAAGCAACATTCAAACTGTTATTTGCTGCCATGCAAGTTCATGAAGCTGTTTTCTGTGACTAACACAACTTAAGTCTGACTTTTGTAGCATCATGCAGGCGGTTCTGGATAATGCTATTCCCTACCTACACGTGAGAGAAGCTTTTGGCCAGAAGATTGGACACTTTCAGGTTTGGACATCAGACATCTCTTTAAGACATTAAAATTCCAAACTTGAATGTTTATTTTTGGTCGTTAAACTTTAAAAGTGAAATTGAAGTTATTAATAATCTGATCTGCTTCCCAGCTGATGCAAGGAAAGATGGCCGACATGTACACCAGGCTGAGCTCCTGTCGGCAGTATCTTTATAACGTTGCCCGAGCTTGTGACAAAGGCCACTCCAGCTCCAAGGTGGGAATATTTCACATTTCCTATTTGATCTGCTCTTTTAGTAGCAATACTGGTTTGATGGATGCTTTAGGTCAGTCCTGGTTGGCGTTCCCATTTCAGCCTGATGCTTTGTGCTTTGCAGGACTGTGCTGGGGTGATCCTGTACTGTGCTGAGAACGCCACACAGGTCGCTCTGGATGGGATTCAGTGTTTAGGTACATTCCAAGATATATTAAAACCTGCTTCATCTGCTGTTTGAGGGAATAAAGATGGTCAGAAGTCTCCTTTTTGCATGGTAACACAGTTTATCCACTTTTACATAGCTGATCTGCGTTTCTCTCCACCAGGCGGGAACGGCTACATCAACGACTACCCAATGGGCCGATTCCTACGAGATGCAAAGCTGTATGAAATCGGAGCCGGCACGAGTGAAGTTCGACGGCTCATCATCGGAAGAGCCTTCAACTCCATGTTCAGATAGAGTGAAGAGTGAGCGGATCCCTTCACCCAGGACCTTACCGTCTGCCATTAAGATGATCCACTGGCGTGTAACATGATCCGTAATAAACGATGAATCAAGATCAAGTATCGATCAACGCCAGCTGGCCCTGAGATTAGCTGTAGTTTCATTTTCTGTTACATAATAATTGTTAATTACCAACATCATATTAACATTTATTAGACTGTATCAGAGCAGGATGCAGAATGTCGAACACTCCTCCCTGAGCTGAAAACAAAACAAAGCATTTATGAAGCAGGAATCTCGTGTTTTCTTTGTGAATTTCTCCAGTGAATCATTTTTCATCCTGTGGGATCATTTGTTGTATTTCAAAACTTAATCTTGATCATTTAAATGTAAACGGAACAGATCCAAACAGTGTTGATGCATTCTGTAACTGGTGTTAGACCATGTTTGTTCTTTTAGTAAATAGAATCAGTCGGTTTGCTGAAACTCCCAAGTTTGGCTCCTACACAGATTTATTGTGTGTGTGTGTGTGTGTGTGTGTGTGTGTGTGTGTGTGTGTGTGTGTGTGTGTGTGTGTGTGTGTGTGTGTGTATACACATACATGTATGTATATATGTATATGTGTGCATATATATATATATATATATATATATATATTGTAAAGAATGAGTCGTTTACATCTTACCTATGAACCATAAAATGTGAGATACCATAGAAATATGAAATATCAATCTGATGGATCTTTTGACTATTTTAACCAGAAGATCAGAACTTTTTATTGTAGGGATTAAGCGACACTTCGTATTTACTCCAAGGAAAGAGAGAGAGTCGGGTTTAAAATTATTATGAAATTTATTTCTACACAATTTAAACAAGACTAACTTTAACACTCTGTGTACTGATGGGACTAAGGTGGAGTGAGACGTGAAGAATGATGGAGTGTGTGTGGGGGATGTTATTCAGAACCAGCGGATCTGGAGAAGCAGTTCTGAGTGGGAGTGAATGTTTCGCTCTAAACCTTAGTTGGAGATTTATAACACACATGAAACGCAATCTGTCGGTCTACGTGCCCAGGGGAAGCCTCCAATCAGATCCAGAATGCCGAGGTCCTCGTGGACCCTCTTTGTTACCGAAGCCAGTAGAAAAGCAGCGGTGCCGACCAAACTAGTCTTGGAATGCTTCCAGGTCACGACAGGTTATCACTGGCGTCTCCGAGGCCTTGAAGGGGTCGTGAGGTTCAGCTTTTATTCTGAAGGAACCTTTGCGGTCAGGTGTAACTTGCAACAGATTTTATCCAGCTTGTTAAGGTTCTTTTGGCTGAAGAGGAATCCGGATGGCCTGTCTGAGACTTCTCTAGAACGCTCGAACTAACGAAAAGGTGGCGTGGGATAGATTTTATAATTTTCATATTTTGGTTTACTGGCGAATCAGAATTTGACATGCAAAAGAGGCTTTATACAAACACCACAGATAACCACACCTAGCCAGAAACGAAGGTTCTGATTGGGTGAGACAAAAGGAAATGTCGTGTGACTTTTAACATTACGTGTCTAGTGCAAATGTCCAAGATTACAATAACTTGTAAAATACTACTGATCACAGGATTATAATATCAAGTAATAAACATTGACATTTCACAGATTGATTGAACATTGGGCTCACATTAATATTGGTAATTAACAAAGTTGTTGATTATGTATTTATCAGAATAGTTCTTGTCTTCACTTGGTAACAAAGGTGAAGCAGTTCAGATGAGCAGAGTGCATGAAAGACCTTGGCCACTATCATGTCGATTAGCCTGTGTCAGAGACTTTGTCTCTGCTCGAGCAGACGCAGCTGATCATAACCTTTAGGTCAAAAACAGGACATTCATGACACTACTATATATATGTATGTATGTATATATACAGTCGGTATATATCAGTCGGCCTCATGCCGTTTCATCTCTGCCTTATGTGACTGATTGATGTTTGGACTTTGGCACGACTCATCTGTGTGTGTGTGTGTGTGTGTGTGTGTGTGTGTGTGTGTGTGCGCGCGTGTGTGTGTGTGTGTCATACCCAGCCTTCTATGATGAAAACAAGCTGTGCTGAAAGATTATTCTCAGTTCTTTATTTTTTAACCCTTTCCTGGAAGTAGCGCCTGGCTGTGTTTGACATGCTGATGAATTTAGTTGTTTTATGGTAAAAATTAAAACAGGGAAGCGTTGTGAACATGTTACTTTGATGCTTCCATCTGAACATGCAGCGCCTTGTTTCCAGGAGGGGATGAAAAGCATCTGGGACAGGAGAGTTCAGACAATGATGGACCGATCCCAAAGCATTTGAATAATACATGGAGATCTATTTCAGGGTGGATTTTCCCTTTGCAGGAAATAAATCAGGTTGGTAAAACACTGGAATGAAAGGACGTAAGGGCTTTTTTTGTTTTATTTTTATAGTAGCTAGTGGACTTCTCTTAGCTCGTAGCATCAGATATTATCTTAGAATAACTAATGGTCCCCATGGCAACCGCACCAGCATCCTCAGCTAATGACAGGGTGTTGAGAAGTAAAGCTTGAGAGTACAAGCTTTAAACACAGCTTTAATGGAATAATTTACTTAAATTTAATTGCAAATGAAAAAATAATTATAATAAACAAGGCATTGATAAGACTTTCATTAATATTGCTGCTAATGAGTTGCTCATTATGCCTGCAGGACATGATGATTCCCTATAAGCTGCTGTCACTGCACCGCCCCTTCATGCATGTTATTTTTAGATATTTTTCTATTCTATTATTTAAAGGTAAAAAACTGCTCAAATAACCAAGATGACATTGTTATTATTGTTAACTTTTTTTTATTATTGTCTCACTGTTTAAGTGTTTTTATGTAAAATTTAACAATTTAATTACCAGTACACTTGTTTTTTCCATTTCTTTCTCTTGCTGCTTCCTCATTCACTGATCAATAATTTAATGCCTTCAGATCAGCTGAATGGGCTTAGGCTGATAAAGGATTTTTAATGAGGAGTTGATTCCACTCGAGATAAAAGGGATCTGTTTGCTTTGCTGTTAAAAAAACGAAACTGTCTAAACTAACACATGCCCCAGACAGAGATGGGTGTTTTTGTCCCTGCAGCTGAACAGCCACCATGAAGCAGGAAGGACTCCTCCCATCAGCTAAAGAGCTGCTAACTGGGACAAGTTGTTAACTTCTAAATGCAACCCAGAACTGCATAAACATTTTTTTGATTATATTTTTGAGGGAAAATGCTTTTCAATTCTTGTGCAGCTCAGACCTGCAAATTTGGCTGACGGAAATATTTTTTTATAGATCAACCAGATAAATTTGGGGGCAGCATTTTAAAAAATTGGATGCAACTTGGATTGATAAAAATGTTTCGGATCTGAGAGCAGTTCCATGTCAACACCCCACCTATACCACCTGGTGGGGTTTATTTTTATTTGCTCCTTGAAAGCATGGATACGCATGCATTCATGACTTTTATGTTTCTTGTAATTTCCATTATTGTTTTTTTTTTTTTTTTTTTTTGCAGGAACTTCACATCCTCCTTCTGTTTTGCAGAGGACTCTTTCTGGTTCATGTGCCTTGGATTGATGTGCAAGACAAAAGAAGCATGAAAAAGGCAACCGGACTTTTCTGGAGGAATGTTTTGGGATATCAGGTCATTCTGGGGCTGTTTTAGCCTGCATGTTGGGTTTTTGATGGGCACATTTTAGTTCTCTCAGATGGATCTCCAAATTATTTTATTACATTTCTCTTAAGTTTTAGTTCTAGGTCGTGTAAAACATGTTCATGAATTTCTTTGCACTAAACCCCTCTCACATAAAACACTTTCAGCAGTTTTATTGATATTTTCAGTACTTTTAATAATTAGCCATTCCAGGAATTTAAGAAAAAATTTTAGGCTGACCACGCCCACCCATCCCCCTCTCAGGCTGCTATAAGCTGAGAAGCTCCGACATCCGGGTGGAACTTGAACACACACACACACACACACACACACACACACACACACACACACACACACACACACACACTTTTCATGTTATTTTATGGCAAGTTCACAGGTTCGTTCCACTTCAACCTTACTAATACCTATGCCTACACGCCCCCAAAAAGCAGTCCTTCAATAAAAAACTTTAATCCATCAATTTTTGTTTGCTTATCCGGAGTTGGGTCGTGGGGGCAGTGGCCTAAGCAGGGAGGCCCAGGCTTCCCTCTCCCCAGCCACCTGGGCCAGCTCCTTCGGGGGAATCCTAAGGTGTTCCCCGGCCAGCCGAGAGACATTGTCCCTCCAGTGTGTCCTGAGTCTTCCTTTAGGTCTTTTCCCGGTTGCACAGTCCCGGAAAATCTCACCAGGGAGGCGTTCAGGAGGCTTCCTAACTAGATGCCTGAGCCACCTCAACTGGCTTCTCTCACTGTGGAGGAACAGCAGGTCTACTCCAAGCTCCTCCCGGGTGACCGAGCATCTCACCATATCTCTAAGGGAGAGCCCAGCCACCCTGCAGAAAAAAACAGTTTTGGCTGCTTGTATCCACAATCTAATTTCTTTCTGTCACTACCCAAAGCTCATGACCACAGGTGAGGGTAGGAAAGTAGATTGACATGTAAATTGAGAACTTTGCCTTCTGATAGATCTGTACAACACCCGCATCACTGCAGACGCAGCACCAATCCACCTGTCGATCTCTCACTCCATCTTTCCCTTACTTGTCCCCGAGATACTTGGGGCAGGACCTCATCCTCCCTGACCCGGAGAAGGCATTCTACCCTTTTCTGACTCAAGACCATGGTCTTGGATTTAGAGGAGCTGATTCTCATCCCAGCTGCTTCACACTTGGCTGCAAATCACTCCAATGAGAGCCAGAGATCACATTCTCATGAAGCCAACAGGACCACATCATCTGCAAATAGCAGAGACTCAATCCTTAGGCCACCAAAACAGATCCCCTCAACACATTGGCTGCACCTAGAAATTCTGTCCATAAAAGTTATGAACAGAATCGTTGACAAAGGGCAGCCTTGGCGGAGTTCAATTCTCACCAGGAATGAGCCAGACAAAAATCCTCCCGAGGGACGCAGTTGAACGCCTTCTCCAAATTCACAAAACATGTGGCGACTGGTTGGGCAAACTCCCACGCACCCTCCAGGACACCTCTTAGGGTATAGAGCTGGACCAGTGTGCCATGGCCAGGACGAAAACCACATTACTTCTCCTGAATCCAAGGTTCAACTTTCCGTCGGACTTTCCTCTCCAGAACCCCTGAATAGACCTTACCAGGGAGGCTCAGAAGTGTGATCCCCTGTAGTTGGAACACACTCTGCTCCCAGTCTGCCAATCCAGTGGAACTGCCCCCAATGTCTACGTGATATTGCTTAGCCGCATCAGCCAACACAACCCTACAACACCAAGAGCCTTAAGAACCTCTGGGCCGATCTCATCCACCCCCAGAGCCTTGCCACCAAGGTGCTTTTTAACCACTTCAGTGACCTCAGCACCAGAGATTGCCGGTGGGATTGAGGAGAACTTCAAAGTACTCCGCCCACCAATCCTCAACGTCCCAAGTAGAGGTCAGCAACAAACTGTCACCAATATAAACAATGTTGGTAGCACACCGCTTTCCCCTCCTCAGATGCCGAATGGTGGACCAGAATCTCCTTGAAGTTGTACGAGAGTCTTGCTCCATGGTTTTTACCTCTGCAACCACCCAAACCTCATTCTGCTTGTCTTGCTGGTACCCATCAGCTAACTCTGGAGTCCCACAGGCCAAAAAGTTCCAGTAGGACTTGACAGCATCCCTAACCGTCGGTGTCCACCAGCAGGTTCAAGGATTGCCACCACGACAGGCACCGACAACCCTGCGGCCGCAGCTCCGGTCGGCCGCCTCAAAAATGGAAGCATGGAACATGGCTCAGACTCAATGTTCCCCGCCTCCCTCGGAAAATTTGGGAAGTTCTGTCGGAGATGGGAATTGAAACTTCTTCTGACAGAAGACTCCGTCAGATGTTCCAAGCTCACCCTCACAATACGTTTGGGCCTGCCAGGTCTGACCAGCATCCTCCCCCACCATTGAAGCCAACTCACCACCAGGTAGTGGCCAGTTAACAGCTCTGCCCCTCTCTTCGCCCGAGCGTCCAAGACATGCGGCCAGAGATCAGATGAAACAACAACAAAGTCAATCATCTAGCTGCAGCCAAGAGCACATATGGACCCCTTTATGTCAGAACATGGTGCTCATTATGGACAACCCATGAGGAGCACAGAAGTCCAAAAACAAAGTACCCCTCAAATTCAGATCAGGGGGGTGGGGTGGGGGGTGTTCATTCTTCTAACCACACCTCTCCAGATCTCACTGTTGTTGCCCACGTGGGAGTTAACATCCCCCAGCAGAACAAGGGAGTCACCGGAAGGAGCGCTCTCAAACACCCCATCCAAGGACTCCAAAAAGGGTGAGTAGTTTGAACTGTAGTTTGATGCATAGGATCCGTCTCCCCACACTTAGGTGGAGGGAGGCTACCTTCTCGTTCACCAGGGTAAACCCCAACATACAGACACCAAGATGGGGGGCAACTACTATGCCCATCCCTGCTCAGCGCCTCTAAGTAGGGCCAACTCTAGAGGGGTAGACTGCCCAGCCACCCTCAAGGAACCTGGTTCCGGAGCCAGAGCCATACATCAGGATGACTCTGACTATATCTAGTCGGAAACTCTCACCCTCACACACCAACACAAGCTCCTTCCCCACCAGAGATGTGACATTACACGTACCAAGAGCCAGCTTCTGTAGCTGAGGAGCAGACTGCCAGCATTCCCGCCTTTGGCTATCACCCATCACATTTTGCACCCAACCCCTTTGGTCCCTCCCACGAGTGGTGAGCCCATTAGGAAGGGGACCCATGGGCTCCATGGGTTAAAGCCCGGCCACCAGGCGCTTGCCAACGTGCCCCATCAGACTCCAGGCCTGGTTCCAGAGGGGGCCCCGGTGACCTGCGCCTGGGCGAGGGAACATTTCTATTGATATTTGTTTTCATAATGGGTCTGTGGGCTGCACTTTGTCTGATCCCTCACCCAGGACCTGTTTGCCTTGGATGACCCTACCAGAGACATGAAACCTTAGACAACGTGGCTCCTAGGAACACTGGGACACTCAAACCCCTCCACCACGGTAAGGTGGCAGCCTTAATCATTTTAAAAATATACTTAAAATGTACAATATGTACAAATTAAGTAATTATGACTTCCTGTGGTCAAATTTGGGTACTGCAGTCCACTTTTAAAAACAAAAAGACACTTTCTCACTCCCATGCTGTGAATTTCATGGCTGATGGCAGTTATGGATCAATGCAGAAGATTCTAGATGACAAGCAAAGATGAGTCATACACTGTAAGTATATTGTTACTGTACATCTGGTGTTGGCACTCTTGGGTGTTTTGTGGGAGTAATATCCATTATTATGTAATGTAGTGTAAAAAGTAAATGTACATTTAAGCAACCAGGTTTAATGGGACCAGTTGACACTTGGTTGAGTAATTTCAAAACGCCCTTCCTTAGAGCATAAAGTAAATTTTTTGTTATTTATTTCTTTGTTTGCTTATCATCCCGTGATCAGGAATGTGTTAATAGTATTAACACAATTGTATTAAGTATTAACTTAATACAATTGTTATTATTATTATTATTATTATTATTATTATTATTATTAATGTTATTGTTATTATTATTATTATTATTATTTTACCTTCCCTGTGCACATATTTATTTATTTATTTATTTATTTTTATTTGGCTCTATTGACCATATATTAAAAAAAATCTAACCCAACTATCCCCAACCACATCTTGTAAAATTAAAATGGCATCCTTGCTAAAACATGCATCAAACTAAACAGGAGAATAAATAGATTTTAAAAATTGGAGATATTTCAATAAACAGCGTAACCGTTCTTTGCAAATTATTGGGATTTTAATAATAATTTTATTTTTACATGATCATTATGTATTATAATCCTGATTGCCCTCAAATGAGTTTAAATGGCGTTTTCATATGTGGACACTATAAATAAAGTTATGTTTTATGTGTTTCCTTTGTGGGTTTCATTGGAAATAAAGACTATTTGGAGGTGGGGTAATAAACTCCCGTCAGAGATGAGGTGCGTAAATCCACATCCTCCACAGAGGAGCTCATCAGAGTTAATCCAAGTGTCAGAAGAAAGGGAGCCATCTGTCAGCCTGCTGCTGGGGACGGGGACATGTGGACAGCACGTCGTGGCCCTTTAAGAAACTCCATGTTTTCGCTTCATGATGCGTCAACATAAAAAGCGGATGATGCTGTTATGTAAAACATGCCAAAGTGAGCCGTAGTTTGCAGGATCCGAGCCGAGGGGAGGGCTTCGCTTGTCGTTTTTCAACTCCCGAGCTGTAGTTTAAGGTGGATCGAAGGGGAGATTTTTCTAGCAGCAGCGCAGTTTGGACAGGAAAAGAAAAAGAAAACGAGAGAGAGAGAGGAGGGGGGCACGGAGCTTCAGCCGATCAACGCAACATGAGTCGTCCTCCACACGGATTTCCTCCTTCACTTATACACCTGACGCATCTCTGGATCTGATCCTAAAGCCTCTCCGCGGGTGATATTCCAGTCTGCGAAGCGGTAAGGCGCAGAAACAAAAGCAAAACACTCTTTTTATGTCAGCTCGCTGAAGAGCTGAAAGTGTCGAGCAGGACGGGATCGAGCTGCTGGGGTGGGAAGAACGTGTCAGCCACACGAGCACATTCTCAGATCCATCATTTATCAGCGCAGCTTTTACGCATCGGGGTAACTTTTTCTCAGAGCCGGGGTCTCCGCGCAGGTGGACGGGGTTCGGGCGCCTGATCGGAGGGGCTGAGAGCCCAGATGGCTCCTCCTGATCACAGAAAAGATCACACATGCAGCGTCAGCTGGAGTTTAACATCTACCGCTGAATTAGTCTTCAGATGATTTCAGATACAAAATCATGGTCAACAGAAAGATCCAGAAGTCTGACGATCCATGAACTCGGTTTAGAATTTTTATTAACATATTTATTCAAAGGAAAATCAGCAACAGTGACCTTTGACATTGGTTAAAGTCAACTAAAACGGCTTAAACAAATCTACAAGTTTAACATCTATAGGTTGTTGGTTGTTAGAATAAAAAACTTTAGTTTGATTTGTAGAGCTGTGGTGTTTTGTCATTTAAAAGAGCTTTGGGAGACGTACCGATTCTGGTTTTGAGGGCCGATATCCGATTTTTGTGCAACTTTGACCTGCCAATACAGATTTTGGTTGATTTTCATCACTTTTAAAGAACAAGAACTTATGCCCCTGCTTGAACATTCTGATTTTGGAACGGTACCTCTCAGCAATGATGAGTTCATGGACCAGGACGTTTCTTTTTTCTGCTTGTCAATAGAGCAATCACATAACAAATATAACTCTTTGGTCGGCCTTAGCTCAGCTTCTGATTTTGATCCAACATCGGGGTCATAATTCCTGACAAGTGTCCTCGTGCCGTCCTCGGACTAGGATGGTTTTGCAGGTCTTGGCGTGTCCGGCCTCCGCTCTAATGTGGCTGTCATGGCAGCATGCTGAATAGAAACATGCTGCCCACACACGGGCCACCAAGCTGGTTATCAAATCCTGGACATAATCCCATTATTTCTGTTGGACTGGGTAGTCACACACACACAGAGTGAGGAGAGAGACACAAAGACCTCGCAGCTGTCTCATCGGAGACAATACTTCAGACTACATGTGATCAGTGGAATGGACAGCAGGACGGAGACGGTCTTTAATATAATTAATGATCTGCTTTATTCTCATGAAAACAGACTAGAAGAATTCCCAAAAGTTAAAACTGGAAAGACCAATGGGACAAACTTTCCAAAACATCCCACAGCTCCCCTTGAGAGGGGTGTTAAATATTATCCACGATGATCGAGTCCTGTGTGCCGACTTTCCTCGTGCATTTGGACAAGACGTGCATGTTGCTGGCGTTTGAGAATAAATAAATTAGTCAACAGCTGGGAATTGTTCTCTCTTCTCAGGATTAAATGTGTTCACAAACTGGCCCAAGGTGAATTCTTGTTTCAGAGTCAACACAAAGGCAGCTTTAGTTTTCTAATCCCTGCAGCAGGTGATCTCTGCAGGTGCGGTGGCTCATTTGTGGTCAAAAAGAACCAAAACACAAATTTGTGACATGTTTAGTAGTGTTTTGGAATTGTGCTCCCCTCTGCCTCTGCTTCTGGCCTGGTGCTGAGGCACAGCTGTGAAAATTGCAGGTCTGTTTCATGGAGGAGGAGGAGGAGGTTCAGCTTGTGTAGAACTGAAAGACAAGGAGACCCACAGACTGGCGTCAGCTGTCCACCGCTCCACAGCTGCAGTGGCTGTGGAGCTTTCAGAGCCAGGGTCCCGCTCTCTTCTCACACACAGGGGTGTGTGTATGTGTGTGTGTGTGTGTGTGTGTGTGTGTGTGTTTGGCTGCGACCAATCTGAACAGAAGCTCTCAGTGTGACTGACAAACGTCAGCCTCCTTCAGTGAAAATAAAAATGGCACCATGTGTCCTTCAGTTTGGCAGATGCTAAAAGCATGACTGAGCCCCTGGCAGGTGGGCAGCTCCCCCCACCCCCCATCTCCTGCCTCAGATGGGTTTGAAATCCAGCGACAAGCCTCCTCGATCAGAGTCGCTCACGACGATGAGGAGCGTCGTCTCTACTCGCTGTTTTATCTCCATCCATCACTCCTTGTCGCCGTCTCTCACAGTTGCTGGTAATTTGTCTTCCCCCTCGTTGCTTTAGGCCCTCCCGGGAAAATCCGTGTGAAACATCTGTGCGCCTCTGAGGAGCTGTCAGGCAGAGAAAACCAGGAGGTCGAATGTGAAAGAGATTTCTACCGAGTTTGACTTTTCCCCTGCTGAATGAGACGTGAGGCGTGAGATTTCCCTCCCCACTTCCTGCCTGCTCTCCGGTACTTCCCTTCGATTTTTCTGAATTCAGTCTTCATCACTGTCTCTGGAGCCGGTTCCCTCTCCTCTCTTCCGTATGCTAGTCAGGCTGTCTGGCATCTTGGCACGTCTCTTTGAAGAAGGAAGGGTGGAAGCAGATAATTAGGCCTCCTGTCCTGTATCTACTCTGTAGCGCTAAAATGTGATCATCTGTACATCTGCAGGGCTTGTTCTGTTTGCTCCGAGGACTTGAGGTTTCAACTTGAATTCACTGCTTTGTTGTTAGGGCAAATTACCTTTTAAGGTTTTGCTTTGATCACATGCATTTACAGTTGACCTAAAACAACTTCTTTTTGCAAAATGGACAGCCTCTATATAACATATGAGCCTCAAAATGACCCAGGAGCCCTGAAAAATGGCCAAACTCTACCCCATAATAAAACCCTACTACGAAAAGACTGGTTTACCCTGCCCACTCAGCCAGGACATGAAGAGTAAATGAGCTGTGTGCTGATTGGATGGTTTCGGCTCTGTGCATTGGTGCTACAAGGTTGTCATGGAGGCCCCACGCAAAACGTGCCATTGTCCAGTGCAGACTAGGAAGCATGGTGGCGCTTCCTTGTTGAAGTGAGGGGTGGTGGTGGGGTGTCGTTGCTGTTAGCAGCTCTATAGGGAGCCTAAGTCACACCCATCTACTTCTGGACCCTTGGTCCCAAGGCCGGATTATAATACGGGCAAACTGGGCACGGGCCCACAGCCACAAGGGGGCCCACGCGAGCAGCAGTCATTTTATTTTTTTGTTCAGCAGTCTTAACGGAGAAAAAGTTGACAAGTAATTAAAGCTGTGCCCACATTTTCTAAGTTAACACACATTTCTTTCAACAACGGTAGTTTTTGCGTCTTTACTGTTTCCCTGCTTCAGCCCACTCCCCCCTCCCCCTGCGCAGCGGCTGCTAACTCACTGGTGCGCCTGCAGCCTCTCAGAGTTGCTGCTGATCTAAACATTAAAATAATTATTTCATTTTATGTTCCTCACTTCTAATTACCTTCAACGTTGTCTGTTTGTTTTAACCACCAACGAACTTGTTTTTATTTGACTATTTTTCTGTCCTGTCTCTGTTATCTTCCTGCATCTCCTCTCAATCCTAAAGAAAAACTGCTACCTGGCTTCATATTTTTTCACACATTGTGTCCGGGGCCCCTGCAATGATAATCCGGCCCTGCTGGGTCCCCGGAAGAACGAAAATATTAATGCAAGTCAATTGGGCTAAAAACACTTTTCTAATTCTGTTTGTTATGTGCCATGGATTTTACGTATGATATCTGTGAATTTTAAAGACGTGTTTTGATGCCGTAAACTTTATTTTAGGTTTTGTGTGAAAATGTGTCCAGAACTACAAATATGTCTCACCAAATTGACGTCATCAAACCAGAAACGGAGCAAAGTAGAGGAAAAATAGCTGTAAGTTCAGCAAACTTCAGATCTTTTCCTCAGGAGGGAAGAACCACCATAAATATTGCCATGTGGTGAGTAGCAGCTATGCTAGGGGAGAGGAGATTCTGTGGTGACGTCATATATGCGACGCACCGACTTCTGATTTTTAATCATGCTAATTACGAACTTTTACAATCTGATAAATCTCAAAAGTACATGACAGGTGTGGTCGAAACACACATCGTTAAGCCTAGTTTATGCTTCAAGCCTAGTTTATGCTTCTGCGTCGGCGCAGAAACACGCAACACCATTATCCGTCTTTGCCAGGGCTCTCCAGCAGGCTCGCAAGGAGGGACGGATTCAAGTCCACTTTTCTAAACTTGTCAGATCACATTAAAAAACAAAAGAGTCACTTTCCGCTTCTTGTTCTTAAGTCCCGCGTGATGTAACTATCGCACGACTTTCCAAGAAGCGCTCAGCGGCGCGGCGCATCCTGTGTGGCCACTTGACTTCTCAAATCTTGGCGGTGTGCCCCAGGCTTTAGGCTTCATATTCTCCGACGGACAATCTCCGGGTTAAGGGGTGTGTTAAAGGCCATCAGTGCTGTGAAATTAGAGCTTTTCATTATCTCACTGTTGTTGGGTTTTCTGCTTCAGAGTTTGTTAGCCCTTTGGCCTGGGGGCCCCAAAACAATTGCCTACCCTGCCTGCCGGCAAGCGGCACATCTGGCTACATAACTAATTTGTGATACAGCTGTGCATCCTCTTCTGAGAAAAAGTTGTTGCACAAATTGATGACCATGCATGAAACAAATATTTTCCAATGGACGCTTCAGGTTGTTGTCATCTTATCTTAACCGACCAGTAGAGGAAGTTTTAAAGTCTGACATCATCCCCAGGCAGATCCGCAACACTTTAAAGCAAGGGTATTCAATTACGGCTCTAGGGCCGGTATCTAGCACGTTTTAGTGGTTTCTCTGCTTCAACACACTTGATTCAGTGGTTGAATCACCTGCGCAGCAGCTCATCAGGCTCTGCAGAAGCCTAACTACCTGCTGATTGGAATCAGGTGGGTTGAAACGGAGTTAAAACTAAAACTATTGCACCTCGCTTACATTTGCATGACATCTAAGTTTTATGTGTTCATTTGCATACGGAGCAGTGAGGGAAATGATGGTCACTCGAGACGTAAATGAGGACGCACATTCAAACCAAGTGTAAACAGACTGCTGACGTGCTGCTGAGGTGGTTAAAG